CTTTCTGCTGGTTTTGTGCGCTTGCAAGGTCAAGCCTCTTGTAGCGTTGAACACTTCAGGGACTTCTACATATGCAGAGCCTCCAATATCCCTTAATTAAGGAATATACCTTAAATCTTATGAGGGTTCCCAGTATCATTTAAGGTATATTCCTTAATTAAGGGATTTTGGAGTCTCTGGGAACAGCTCGGCATTTCCATGTAGAGAGGATCGCGACGGGAGAAGGCCGAGCTAAGGATCCTCAGCTGGCAGGTCACCTGCACTCCTCCCTTAGTAGCTCTTGTGGTAACTACCCATAGGCCCCCATAGTAGTTCCTTTTCGGGGTTAATATTTAGAATCCTATAAGGTAATCCCAAAAAGGAACTAGTGTGGGGCCTGTGGGTAGGCTTGCTGAAATACTAACGTAAGTCAATTTGTTAGATCCTGTCAGCTCAATGAAGGGGAATCTGAATCATCCCCAAAGCCTAGCGAGCCAACACTCTAAGAGGCTCCAAAACCCCCTAATTAAGGAATATACCTTAAATTATAATAGGAGCCCTAATAAGATTTAAGGTATATTCCTTAATTAAGGGATATTGGAGTCTCTGGGCTGTCTTACATGTTTCCAGTTCCCCTCATCTTCTGTCTGGGGCCCAGGCAGAATGTGTGCGAGGAGACGGTATCATCCTGCAGCACGACCAGGTGAGCCTGGGATAGGAGACTCCAAGAACCGACGATAGAACGATCCCGGCCATTCTAACCGGGTCGCTAAGTAAAGGCCATGATAAGTGGAAACTTTAAGGAAGGACTGTAAGGGTTGCCACGAACAATGAAGCAGAAGATTGCTACAGCGGGGAGCTGCAATCCCGCTCCCGAATCGCTTCAAACTCCACAACACCCTTGGGCAAGGAAGACCCTGAAGAAACCTAAACTTGAACTCCTACAGATATGCTAAACCCTAAACCCTAAACCCCAACAAAGCCAATCGAAACCTCTGAGTCAGCACCAACTTGTGATCCCAAGCCAGCCACGTAACAACCTTAGCTTAACCCTCAACCCCACACCCTAAACGTCTAGACTCTAGACCCCTAAACTCGATCCCTCAACCCCCAAAACCCGTAAAACCCTGAACCCTAAAACCTTACCCCTCATCCCCAAAAGCCCTTAAACCCCTCCTGTCAAGGGGCATCCACGATCATGGAGGAGCCAGAGCCCACCGCTGGGCCGAAGGAATACTCGGCCTTCCGGTCGCGCAGAACTGCTCAGCAAGGCTAGGGCTCCTTTGAAAGGTTTAGGGTTTAGGGTTTAGAGGAGCTCCTACAGTATCCTTTTAGGAACCCTTTAAAGGGCTCCTTTAAAGGGCTTCTTCAATTTAAAGGGGCTCCTTCAAGAGGAGCTCTTACAGTACCCTTATAGGAAGCCTCTAAAGGCTTCCTTTCAAGGGCTCCTTGAAGTCCTTTAAGAGGGCTCCTTTCAAGGAGACCTTTACAGTGGCATTATAGGAACCCCTTTAAAGGTTGCTTTCAGGGTGCTATACGGGGCTCCTTTAAATGGTCCCTTCAAGGGTTCTATAAGGGATCTATGATAGGGCTCTGTAGGATTCAGGGAAGGGCTTTCAAAAGAAAGGATGCTTTGTAGGGCTTTTGGTCTTTATATAGGGGATTCAACAATAAGTTGCTTTCGTGGGGATGTAAGGTTTTAGATAGCGCGTTGCGCTTGTCGGCCTTTAATTGCTTTTTTGATATGGCTTCCGTGGTGGGTGTGAGGGTTTGCAGTCCCAGGGTTCACGGCTCTTCTGGGGTCTGACTGGCCATCAGCGAGCAACTTCAACTTGAGCGGCTCTTCGTGCATCCAGGCTTGTGCCTACGTGAAATGGTGGGCCATAAACCTGAAAGCCTTTCAGCCCTACCTTAAGAACCCCAAACCTACTTTTTTGTAGGGTCCCTATAAATCCCATTTTTGGGTTTATAATTGGAACCTACAAAAAAGTGGGTTTTGGGTTCTTAAGGTACACAGCACTGGCCCGAAAATTCGACATCCCACATTGGGCCCCTGCACTTTGGGATCGAATTAGAGCTCCCCAGCTTTCTGAAACTCACATCTTCTAAACTGGGTTAGCCTTTAAACCCTCTGAAAAATATTTATATAAAGGGCCCCTTATAAGCCCAAATTAAGGAAAATAAAACATGTCCCCAAAACCAGCCTAGTAAATGCCCTTTACTTTCTTCACGGTGCCTTGTCGACAACTTTGCCGCTGGAGTCCAGCTTCCTGGGCTTCTGGAACCCAGGTTGCGAAACGCCGAAGCACCCCTTCACCCCACCCTAAATCCTAAACCCCCTGAAACCCTAAACCCTAAACCCTAAGCCCTAAACCCTAAACCCCCACCCTAAACCCTAAACCCTAAACCCTAAGCCCCAAACCCTAAACCCTACACCCTACACCCTAAACCCCTCAACGAGGAGCCTCCCCACGAGATGTGGGTCACAACTAAAGGAGCTGTTGGGCAATCTGACCCAAAATCATAGAACCCTTAAAGCAGCCTTATAGTCCTTACAACCCCACTTATCCCTAAACCCTAAACCTTAAAACCCTAAACCCCACTTATAATAATCTGGTCCTGCAGATACCCCTACCCCTACCCCTAGCCTGGCCTACCCCCGGTAAATCCACCCTAAACCCCCAAAACCCCAAGCTGCCGTTTCTGCGTTTCTGAGCCAGTCCGAAGCTGAGCTTCCCTGGTGCTGATAGCATCCTGGGGCCCTGAAGGACTAGACCAAGGCCTGAAGGGTGTTGGGGTTTAGGGTTTAGGGTTTTAGGGTTTAGGGTTTAGGGAGAATAGAGTGGTGCCCAAATGCATCCGAGCATCTGCACCGTCGAAGTGTCGGCACCCTGCCGGAGGTAACAAGCTCACAAAACTTTGGCCCAGATGTAGGTGAAAACGAAAAATGGCTTAGGCCATCCCAGTCGAGCTTCCCCCAGAGCTGCGAAAGAAAATGCTTGTGACCCCTTTTTTTGGGGCTGCTTCTGAACCTTGATGAACTTGATAGCCGGGGGGGTTGTTAATCAGGTTATAACATGAAGATCTTCAAGTGGTTTCAGCAACACGATGCTCAACACTTCCGCCCAGCACTTCCCTGCCTCTGACACGGCCATCACGCACACCTGGAGCATGTCAGGAAGTAGGCGCAGAGAATTGCTTTGCCAACAACGGGCTTTCATGATGCAGCGGTTTTGGACAAGCTCTTCAGACCTTGAGGCGCTGAGCATGACGGCATGTGCCCTGAGCGCACAAAGCGCTCGCCAGGCCTGGCCCTGTTCCCAGAGACTCCAATATCACATCCCTTAATTAAGGAATATACCTTAAATCTTATGAGGGTTCCTATTATAATTTAAGGTATATCCCTTAATTAAGGGATATACCTTAAATCTTATTAGGGTTCCTACTATAACTTAAGGTATATTCCTTAATTAAGGGATATTATCCTAAACCCTAAACCCTAAACCCTATATAGATCCCTTACCCTATATAGATCCCTTAAATTGGAGTCTCTGGGCCCTGCTGCTCTGAGGGCCACGCATGTCCATCTGCCGAAGCCGCCGCAACGTACTCGGCCTCTCACTTCCAAGGGACCCAAGATCTGAGTCTTTATTAACATAGCTTAACTATAGTATCATATATTATATTAATATAGTTTAACTATAGTATCATACGAGTCTGTATTAACATAGCTTGACTATAGTATCATATACCCCACAACCCTATTCTGGCCCGGCAGCCTTTCATGACAACTTTGCAAGAAGAACCCGCGCGCGCCTGCTTGTCGATGTCTTTGCTGCTGATTTGCCTCGGCGATCATAGAATGCTGGAGGCCGAAACTCAGCTTTGACAGCGTCTTACACACCTGGGAACCCCAGTAAAAGAGCCACATGAGTCTGTACCCGAATGTACATCGCCGTGATTTTCCCGATCGTGGACTCCCGCCCACATGTCGCGTTTGCCAGAGCTAGTGTGGCAAGCTCTATGATAAGTCGCCAGGGTTACAAAGATAATTAAAGGGAGATGTCATCCGATCCCGGAGCTCCCCCATCCCATCTATCTCTCTGCAGTTCAGATAGGTGACTCACCAAGTCGCCACACGAAGCCCTGAATTCCGAAGCTCGTGGAGAAATGGAGAAGCCTCTGAGTGACCCTACACCCTAAACCCTAAACCCTAATCATGCGGCTCTCCGACCTTGTTAGCAGCTCAAAGACTCCACTGGGGACCCCGCCACTCCTGCTTTCCTGCCAGGCTTCTGGACTCAACCTTGCGGACCCAGAGACTCCAAAACCCCTTAAGTAAGGAATATACCTTAAATCATGTTAGGGATCCTATTATAATTTAAGGTATATTCCCTACTTAAGTCTCTGGGGATGCTGCAGGCGCAAGCGATTCGCATCAACTTCTCAAGTGGGGCTGAAGTACCTCATATAAAGACTTGCAGCATAGCGCAGGCGTGGCATTTTGGTACGTGCGCGCGCGCGCCGAACATCACATGATCAATAACACCTTGTGCGAAAACTCGGCATAGACTAGCAGGATCGTCGCACCTAGCCTCAAGTGCGGCCAGTGTCATGGCTTGCAATGAGTCTGCGGACGTCGGGAGGAGGTGTGTTCCGCTTCAAGGCTGCAGGGGACGTAAGTATAAGAAGTAGGATAACCCAATTGGCATGCCTATAGTTCCACTTAGCCTACCTGCTCTGTCTGCCAGCTTCCACAAGCCTCGAAGGAACCGCTCAGGGATCTGTTTTCTGAATCTCCACCCAGCACTCTTAGCCTACTCTTACCTCAGGAGGAATAGCACAGCAACTACTGCGACCCGAAAATGATGCAAATGCAAGACCCTTTACATGGAAGCGCCCTCAAAGGGAACCGTTAAAGGAACCCTCAAACCCTTGAAAGGGAACCTTCGAATCGGATCCTTCGAAACCCTAAACCCCTAACCCCAAAACCCAAAACCCTAAAATCCCCTTGGGGCGGCCTCTTGCTTGCTCACCACTAAGACGGATCCCCCAGCAGGAATCAGGTCCAGCACCTGCGCCCAACTCGACTCTACCCTCTGAGACCCCATAAAAACTACAGGGGTGCTAAACCAAAAATGACCCTGAACTCCAAAACCCTTAAAGCCAGAAACTTTGAGCACTGAGTTTCGAGATTTTCATCAGATAGACCTGGCTTGAAAGCTCTTCTTACCGGGACTGAATGGTATGGGGTTTTCGGGTTTGGGTTTAAGGTTTGCGTGTTTCAGGGTTAACGGGATTTGGGGTTTAGTCAGCTTTGGGTTTTAGTGCGTAGGGGTTCGGGATTCAGGGGATTAAGTTTTCGGACTTAAGGTAGCGCTGGGCTTTGGGGCTTGTGGGTTCACGCTTGAAGGTTTAGGGCACGGATCTTGCGCAACCTTAACATGGATCGCGCCAGTTGCTGGGTTTAGGGGTTGCGTTGTAGGTATAGGGTCTGGTGACTTGCTTAAGAGAGGAACTCTTCCTCGCAAACTTCTTAATTTTGCAGGCATGTTCATACCAGAAATCAAGCTACTCACTGGGAGGATCATGGGACTTAGTAAGTATAGAGCAAAACTAATATAGGTTACTATCAAGCTGCTTTCTAAGCCTCACGACCTTCAAGCAAGGCGGCTTAGGTGGGCGCCTTCTCGCCGTACTCTCTTTGCCAGCTGAGGTCGCCAGTGCCTTCCCAAGTTTCGGTCTTGCTGACCGGATGGGGCAAAGATCCCATCACAAGAAACATTAAGCTAAGAAGAGCAGGACTGAACTTCCGTCATAATGGCAACCTTCGTCTGGGTATTAACTACTCATGAGACTGTGAAACCGGAATACCTCGCAGGGACCCCCGGAGTGTCAGAACCCCTGCCGGCATCGCACCTTTCCAGGCTTGCACCAAGCCGGCCTCCTGTGCGGACTTCACATGCATACAGAGAAGCCCAAATAATTACCAACATTGTTCTTAGGGTTCCATAACTACAAACATACGATAAAAAAAAGCCCAAAACCCTATTCTAATTATTAAGGCCCCCAATTCATCGATCTGCTTAAGATCGGGGCCTCAATACTTAGAACAAGCTTTTCACCGTAAGAAAACTGCAACAAGGAGAACCCTGAGGTCTCCCAGGGGATGGAATATGGGGGCCTTAAATGATTAGAATAGGGTTCTTGTGGGGCTCCTTTAAAGGGTTCCTTAAAGGGGGGTTTAGGGTTTAGGGGCCTTCATGATTGGAATCGGGTTTTGGGGTATATTCTACTATAATCATATCAAGGAACCACCACAGAATAATATATGTAATGCTTAAGGCCCCTTATAGTACCAGTTCTTCAGGCTTCTCTACTGTGCTTCGTTTGCGGACTCTGTCTAGGACATTTTCAGGTGGGGAGTTACCGCTATAGCAGCCTTATAGAAGGTCTATATACCTTATAGAAGCCTTCTAGAAAGATTATATACCCTAAACTCCCCACCTAACCCTAAACCCTAAACCCTAAACTCCCCACCTGTAGTTCCCTTTCACTCTCGGGGGATTCAGGCTGCAGGGCCCCCGGCCGTGGCGCTGACGAGGCCCCGCCCCGCGGTTCGCAGAAGGCGAATGGGATCCGACGATGCTATCTGGGATGCCGAGAGAATAAGGAACTCCCAGAATAGTATTGGTACTTAGTTCCCCTTTAATTAAGGAATATACCTTTAACCAGAATATTAAGGTCCCTGCAATTTAACGTCTATTCTTGAATTAAGGGGTATTGGGCTCTCTGGGATGCAAGGACTCTCTCAGGGATTTTGAAGGGAGTGACGAGGGTTCTGCGGGCGTCGGAAGGGAGGTGTTTGGTGTCTTCACGATTCTACTGGTACTCCTAGAGCCCCCAAAACAACCCTGAGTCGAGGAGCATACATTTAAAACCCTTAAAGGGTATATAGGGCTCTTTTGAATTTTATGATGCCTATACCTTCAAAAAAGACCCTTTGACCTTACACTTTTGAATTTTATGATGCCTATACCTTTAAAAAACCTTTGACCCTGCAGGTCGACTCACAGAGCTGCAATGCAAAATGCACCAAACCCCCGTGCTCTGACCACTCAGGGCCCTTTCAAACTTCTTTGGCGAACCTGAAGCAGCCCTGCATCCTCGTTTAGGGTTTAGGGTTTAGGTTCGAAGCATTGATGCCTGTAAAGCCCTGTATATAGCAGCCCTGCAACCTGCAATACCCCATGATCCTGTAGTACCTCCCTAGACACCCCATATAGACCCCTTTAAAGGGAGCCCTTGAAGGAACGGCCCCTTTCTTGAAGCTGAAGGTGCTCTTCTCCACTGGATGCGGCCATCCTCGCGGCTGTCTGAGGTTCCAGGGACTCTGGGGGTTTCGGGGTTCGGGCTCTACCTTAAGAACCCAAAACCCACTTTTTTGTAGGTCCTTATTATAAACCCTAATATGGGATTTATAGGGACCCTACAAAAAAGTAGGTTTTGGGTTCTTAAGGTAGGGTCCGCGCTTTAACTCTTGGTGTCATGGCTTGAAGGCGTTAGGGGTCTAAGCTTTCGGGGCCGCCGGTTTCGGGGGGGGAACTTTGGGGTCCCAAAGGCTCAAGGGTGGGAATATCAAGGGGCTTTACGGATCTTAGGCGCTCTGAGGCTTCGCCGGGCTGAATCCTAAAAGGCGGCTGAAGGCTCCAGGTTTTTTTTTCGGGGTTTTTGGAGGACTTGGCGGTGGAAGGCTTCAAGCCTTCAGGGTTTGCGGTGGCTTCTTAGGGTTTTGGTTAGGGCCTGAAAACTTTTAGGGCCTGTGGCCTTTGGCCTTTGGGGGTGTCAGACGTTGGAAGGTGCGGAGGATGAAGGATTGAACGGTCGAAGGCTGGAAAGGTTTAGGGGTTGCAGGGTTTAGGGTTTAGGGGTTCGGGGGGTTAAGGTTTAGGGTTTAGGGTTGCAGGGTTAAG